GGAGTTCAGACTTGTCCTCAGACTTTTATGTTGGTATGTCTTGCAAATCTGGCAGACAACTCTGAATTTTAACTGAGGAAAAGGAGTTCAGACTTATAAGTCTGAGGAATGAAAATCCAGAGATTTCTAATTAATCTGGAAAATCAGTAATACCACGAAAACAGGAAAATAAACGTGCAGAATGACAAATGTCACTTAAATAGACCTATTTGAACTGTAAGTAAAAATTGTGTCTAGATACATGTTTAGGCGTGAAAAATCAATAACTGTGCACAGAAACATGACACGTATCCTCAAAGTTACTTATTTATTAAGTGTGTGTGTGTGTGTGTGTGTGTGTATATATATATAGGTGGAGGTTCAAATGAGAACACCTCCATTTTACGAGAACGCATAAACACCTTTATCACATGTGATAATACGCATGAGGGGACCATGTGATGTGTGGACGACGTATTCTATGACTTAGGTCACGCCAAAGGTTGTATATGTCTATGATTTAACATCACATGTGATTATCTTAATGGATTATAGTATCATATCAACAACACTCTTATCACGTGTGATAATACTTGTGAGGAGGCTAAGTGGTGTAAGGGCGACTTGACCCGCAACCAAAATCGCATTCACGAAAATCGTCCGCGTTTCCGACTTAGTATCACATGTGTATCATATGTAATGTAATAATAGTATCACGTGTGATTGTCTTTAGTAAAAGGATATTCTCAAGCTCTCATAAAATGAATATGTTCTCGTTTGAACCCTTCCTCATATATATATATATATATATATATATATATATATAAAAGTAAAAAATAACGTCTTATCAATTAATGATAAGGACACCACAAACCACTTATCTTCAATTTCATCTTTCCAATGTGTTTTTTTGACTTTTGTAATAACAAGGTTTTCTTACCGTGGTCAGTTGTACACACCTCGACTAATTTCATAGAACTCTTGAGAACAGCTTAAAAACATCCCCAAGTAGTCTTGACAGGGATCAAACCGGTGATTGTGTTAATATTTATATCGGTTGCAAATAATCTAAGCTTTTCAAGTTAGAAGCAATGGTGGTACCAATGGAGGACAATTGAAGATCAGCGAAGATGTGACACTCAACAATGACACTAGGGGGTGTTAATGAGTCAAGTTTTTAACAAGCTACTTGAGCTCAAGCTCATTTATATAAAGCTCGAGCTTAGTTATTGTCGAGCGCCTCAATCGATCACAAACACACTAAAACTGATACAACGTAGATTTGCATAAAGATCGACAAGCATTTAAACCTTTTGAGAATTGAAAAAACTCAAAAACTCCAACACTCGAGTTGAAGAAATTATATTATTAATAGATAAAAACTTGATTAACAACGAAGAAATTAAATTCTATTTATAACCTAAAGTATGAATAAAAAGATTACTATCTAGTAATTATAATTACAGTAGGCCATTAAAAAGATAATTTAAAGATAAAAGATCCCTAAAAAATTCAAATGAATATTAAATACAAAAAATTGTATCATTTTTCATTTGATAATAATAAAAAAAAAACAAAAAAGATTAAGAATAGAATAGCATCGGACAGGTCCGGCGGGTTCAGGTGGGAAAATCAAAAATCCCATCAGATTTCAAATATGGAAATTAAGCCCCGTTTTCTAAATTTTGGATTGCTTTGGGTTCAGGTTGGTCGGGTTGAGGTTGATCGGGTATAGTTAAAATGAAAAAAGTATATATATCCAATTGATTTTGACGATTAATTCAATCGATTTAGAGAATTCACTAGTTGTCTACCCGCGCAATGCGGCGGGAGCCATGAATTTTAATCATTTTGAAGTTCCACTGGTTTTATAAGAAAAGATTTAACGATGATATAAGTTACATTTGGTCTTTACATATTAATACAATTTGAATAAATAAGAGTTATGGTTCCAATTACAGACTATCAATGAAAAAAATTGTATGACAGTTTAAAATCCAATATATTTAAAATCCAACATATTTAAACGACTCCACAAATGTATTCGATTT